GTCTCAAAAGATAACATGAAGTTATAGACAACTTGTAACGCCCCAAAAATTGTAAACCTTTATATAGTCAATTTTTAATTAATTATTCACCGGTTTCCATCAAATAAATCCATTTCTCGTAAGATAATGCTTTAAGAAAAATATTATCTCTCATTAAGTAAATCTCGTTCTCATTGAACTATATTAAACTATTACAACTTATGTTCACGATACAAGTTATAGTTCACAAAAATAAAGATGCCCTAATGGCGTACAAGTTTCAAGGGAAGCCACTTGGTTACACAAAAGGATGGACATTCAGTCCCAGCACACATTAGCTCGAAGCTTCAACAAATAACATCCAATATGCCCACGTGCTCCATTCAAAATTTTCACTACCTTGTCACTTGGGCGTAGTCACACCATTAATTCCTGAAATGTTGTTAGTGGGGGTGAGCTAATGCCCAATAGGAAATACTATTAACAAGACATATAAATAATTGAGATGCATATGATCATGCCATGCACTTGTTAGGATGAAATCCATATTTTCTCTTTTAAAACCAAAAATGTTCAATGCATGATTTACATTCAAAGTCTCGTCTACAAACATGGGGTGGTAAATACGCTATGACATCCTAAGCAAGAGCTGCAAAACCATACATATATCTATTGATTTATATACATAAAATATTCCCACATTTGCCAACTCTAAAAATGGCGGGGCGATAGGTACCCAAAACCTTCCCTCTCCACTTTCGCCGATTCCTGAAATGGTGGGCTTGTGGACAACCAAAATGAAGTTTTTCCACATTCGCTAACTCTATAAATGGCAGGCTCGTGGACACCCAAAAACCTTTCCCACATTTGTCCAGTGATATGCACAAGACAGGGCAATTGGGCACCTTAACTCCTAGAGCGGGTACCAAATACAACACACAACCCATTACCAAAACCCCGACTCAACTACCTAGACTCATATGCTATTCACCGCCCTTTCTAATACTTTCCAATCATCCACATAATTTTAGGATCACAAGAGAAATTATGATGCACATGATGCATGAGTTTTCAAATAAATTTTCCCTAAGATTTGTTCAATCCACAACAACATTAATAATATCAACAACGAAAAGATTTCTCCAATCTCAACATTTATCAATCTCAATACATATACTCAAAGAGCTTCAAAAATATCATATCTTAACACCATTTCCATAATCCTTCACCCAATTTCAAGATTTAAGAGTCAATTTGGCCAAACCCATTATTAAATAAAATTTGAAGACTAGGGTGTTTGGAAAAAAAATTAAGGCTTTCCCTCCTTTACACATAAAGAGTCAATATTCACCATTTCTAACAATAATCAAGGATATGCATAAACTTTTCCAAAATATGGAGGAAAACCACTTTTTATTCAACAATCCCACTTTATATCACAAAATCATCTCATACATTATTATAACTAAGAAAATATCACATATATATCTCAAATCATAAATATATCAAGTTAAAAGTACCCCTACCTCAAGAATGAAGACAAGAAGATGCAAACCCAAAGAAACACCTCGAAGAAATCGCAATCTAATCAGTCAAAATGTTGATCTTCTCTTGTTATTCACCTTTAATATACGATCTATGGTCGATTCTTGGTGAAAAATGGATGAAATCAAGATTTGGAGGTCTAGGGTTTCAGGTATGGAGGAAAGGGAGAGAAGAAAGGAAAAAAGAATGAAGAGTTTAGGCCAAAAAGTGACTTTAAAGTGCTAGATTTCAAACTGACCACTCGAGCAGTCAAAACTTGGCTCGAGCAAAGAAAGAAAGCTCCCAGAATCTTTGAAATTCGCAAAAACCGCTTGAGTAATCAAAAGTTTGCTCGCGTGGATTTGCTTCTAACACGGTTTCTCAAATTTCAAATGGGCAAAACTCCTTCATCTTTGCTCGCGTGGACTTGCTTCTAACACAGTTTCTCAAATTTCAAATGGGCAAAACTTCTTCATCTGGACTCCATTTTGGGTCATTCTTGTGTCTAAATCGAAGCCCCGGAAACGAGATTTCCAATGGTTCTAGCCTTACATCCAGATTCAAAGTGTGGAAAGAAAAAAAGGCAAAAGAGTAATTATCCGAATCAATGTTTTTGGATTAATCATACTTTACCATTATGATACCACCTCAATCAATATTCCAAAATGAACCAAAGAGGCCCCAAGTACAATAATAAGAGTGCCAAGAGCTATCCTACTAGTCCAAGGAATACGAAGTGTTACACAACTTGGCATCGATACTTTCCTGTTTTGCCATAATGCCGTTTTTGAAAGCATTATACAAGGTTTCTTTGTAATTGCAGCTACAATAAGATTTGGAAGTTGATATTCTACCTTGCATTTTTAGCACAAAAATTGATGGTTCTAGCCTTACATCCAGATTCAAAGTGTGGAAAGAAAAAAAGGCAAAAGAGTAATTATCCGAATCAATGTTTTTGGCTTAATCATACTTTACCATTATGATACCACCTAAATCAATATTCCAAAATGAACCAAAGAGGCCCCAAGTACAATAATAAGAGTGTCAAGAGCTATCCTACTAGTCCAAGGAATACGAAGTGTTACACAACTTGGCATCGATACTTTCCTGTTTTAACATAATGTCGTTTTTGAAAGCATTATACAAGGTTTCTTTGTAATTGCAGCTACAATAAGATTTGGAAGTTGATATTCTACCCTGCATTTTTAGCACAAAAATTGATTCCTCCATCAATGAATGGCAAATATAGGCATAGAATTTAGACGAATACAAACAATGAGCAATGGCTTCCTAATTTGGCACCAAGCTAGTAAATGGTAAATGACAATGACTTCAATTTATATATATATATATATATATAATATCTAACAATCTAGTAGAATAAATGTATCCAAAGGGAAAGTCTCTCATTTCAAACATTTTTACCATGTCATGTTTTGGAGTTTGCCAAAAGAATTCTGGAGGGACAAAGCAACCAGGGATTTCTCTTCAGTGTTTAAGATGTTGGTCTTTGGTCAACCCCATTATCTGGAAAAGAAAACCATTTTTATCAAGAGACCATTTATTACTATTAAATGAATTTCCCCTTTTGATTTCTTCTTGTTCTTTGTCATATCGCCCACTCCCCAACAAGTTTAAATAGATCAACATGTAATTTTGAAGAAGAAAAAAAAAAACTCTATAAGAATATATTAAACAAAAAGTTTGTTGTAGGCCAAACTAGGTGGCTTCATAATTGTCAAATGTTGTCTAGCATACAAGGAGAAAGGTTTAAAAACACAACGTGATATTTTACAAAGTTTTGCTTCTTGCAAAGGCGTGGAAGTCTAAATTATCAAAAGTCTTGCCTAAGTGTGTGTCTTAGGGAAGATTTTCAATTGTGGTCTGTGGAAAGAAATTCGTTGTCAATTTGCTTGATATATCTCTTATTCCTTTATCATATACGAGATTTTTCACTATGACTGGATAAAAGTAAATCAATATATTTAATAAAAAACCTCATGACATTTCTATAATTCGTAAAATAACAACCCATTCCATTTAAAGTTGTAGTTTTCTACAAAGACAGGAAGCCTTAATTTAAATCAGAACATACAAAGTACCTTGAGAAGAGCACAAAATCTTGCAATGTAGTGTAGACAATGATTATGAATACATCCAAAAGTTTGTTTCCACAACAATAAAGCCCTTTACAACAAAAAGGTAATAACAAAAATAGTTAGTTGATTTCGCTATTTAAACTATCCACATATCCTTTCTATTATTTTCTTCACAAAACATTTAGAAAATACATAAAAATATATTTTACAATTGGAAACTGTTAGAACAATCTTCTGTGTATAATAAGAAAAACAGAAACAAGTCAAACAAATAAAATAAATTTTCTTACAGAATTTATTTACCGAAAACATATTTAACAAAGTTGATGATCAAGTCGAGTGTATGACACTCTATCTTTAAGATAGATTCGCCACCGTACAAGTGCTTACGGTATGATGGCATCTATCTCTCAAGATACAATGATCTTCGTAATATTGAAGCAGCACGTCTTTAAGATAGATTCGCCACCGTACAAGTGCTTACGGTATGATGGCATCTATCTCTCAAGATACAATGATCTTTGCGATATTGAAGCAGCACTACACTCAATTCTGCACAGTGAATCAGAACCTATGTTCTGTAACTCTCTTAATTCTCTCAAAAACTAATATGAAGAATAATGCAAGAGAGGACAAAAAAATAGGATGGAATTGAATTAATAAATTCTGGAAATGGGTTGCCTTTATATAGGCTGTTAGGAACCTGTTCGGAAAGGTCCAAACTAGTGCAACAATGGCAAAGGGTTGCCATTGAAAACTTTTCGTTTGAATCTGAACAGACACACATGTTCAGGAAGAAGAAGAAATAAAACTAGAGGGAATTTGAAAAAAATAATTAAAAAAATTCCTTGCAAAAAATATATACACAAATATCTTTTGACCCAACGCACAACCTTGACCCAACCCAGATCTGAGCCAGTGGGTATGGTGGTCACCAGTAGGGTTAGCTTTGTCAAGGTCCTCCCCCTCTACAAAACTTGGGTGCCCTTAGTGCCCAAGCCTTTCTAGGAACTTAGATTATGTAAATCCTTTCATCTTCCTTCTTGTTTCCTATGTGGGACAAGGGAATAACAACAAACGTAGAAACCCACCAACATGAGTCATTTCCAATGGCTCACTTTGGCGTCGATTTCTCATTCACCCGTAAATGGTTTTCACCAACCAAATACATAATATTTATCTTCACATAGCAATGAACAACTTTGCCTTTGGATCGACCAAAAATAATAAGTGGGTTCCACTTAATTTTGGCTCCAAATTTAGCAAAACCTCATGGCTATAAACCATTTTCCCAACAGAAAGATCTTTTTTTTTTAACAAGAGTCGCCACCTTGAGCTATGTATTGTTATAACCTTGTAAGTAATCAGCCACGTACCAAGCAAAAAACCCAATCATTGTGATTGTTCCAAATACTCCAGCAAATAAAAAAAGAATAATCTCAAAGGTGATACATCCATCTTTTGGCTAAACTCCTAGATCAAGAATAGAAAATTTTAAGCAGGGCATGGTTAGAACAGAGTAAAGAGGGCTTAATGACCAAACTTCTGCAGCAAAAGGGAAATAACAGTCATTGAATTGAATTAATTTGCACCTCCTCAACTTTGATTGAACATGAAGGATATTCGAACATGTTTTCCATGCAAAGATTTTCACTTTATGCAGAAATTTCAGCAACCAAATCGTTTTTGAAAATGCCCTTTCAAAACTCCCAGCATCTGACCTGACTTGTGTTTCTCTGCTTCACAAAACCATCTCCAAATGATATGCCAACTAAACAGAAAAAAAGGCCATTTTTAGTAAAGCACCAAACCAGTTTATCATAAGCAAGCCTTGGGCAAAGTGGGATTTTACATATCAACTCAACTTCAAAATCCAAACAAAAAAAGCACTGTTTGATGACAACTTCATAAATGAGAGAGCAAACCTTAGCATCAGCATGCAAGAATTTTGTAACAGAAATAGGTTTGTAAGAGTAAGGCCTTGGAATCCATATATCTTTCCAAATCTTCATAGACCTTCCATTCCCAATATGCCAGTGCAGCGCAGCCTCCAAAAAATACTTTGCACTCCAAATACTCCTCTAAACAATGTCAATGGTTTACTCCTCAAGCTAGCTTTAGAAAATTTGAATTTGGATAGTAAGCAACCGCCAACCTTGCTTAGCTGAAAGAGCTTTATTAAAATCCCATCTTACCAAGCTAAATAGCCAAAAAGCAACTATGTACAATTTCTCTCTTCTTTGCTTCTTTCTTTCCTTTTCTGTGCTTTCTATTGCCTTTGATCATGTGGGAATTCTCAGATGTGCACTAGTATTTCTGCCTTCTTTGCCATCTATCTTGAGTCTTTCCATAACAAACCTCCATATTCTCCTGCAAAGTTGCAAGCATCCTCAAAAACAACTCAAACTTATTATTACTTTCTATTTACATAATATTTATTTATACTTAATAAAGATAATTTGTAATTGATACCAATCTCTAACAAAAATTCATATTTTAACAAATATATTACAACTAACTAAATAGAGAAAAAAAAATTAGAATATAATTATATATTTAATAATTTAATATACAAAATATATACATGCTCCAATATAGGTATGACAAATTTTGTGTTTACTTGTTTGTAAGTTGAAAAGTTGTTTGATAAAAATTTAAATATTAAACTAAAACAAATTATTTGATATGTATAAGATCAAATTTAAAATTTATTATTTTTTATTGTACCTTTTAATTTTTATATTGTGATGGTAGAGGATGCAAATATAATAAATCCTCATTTGTGATAAAAATCTGAAATTGGTAATGAGAATACAAATAAATAAATAAAAATGGTAGGACAGATTTTGTGTTTGTTTGTTTGTACCTTGCAGGTGGCTGCTTATTCGAAATCTACTCGAGGAATGTATTGGATGATGGGCCAATATTCTTTCCCCTTTTCACACTTCTGTTTCAGTATTGGATTACATCCCCTGATCCACACTGACAAAAGCGAGGGAGGGAATCCTTGTTCTGGAAAGGTCGCAAGCTCAGGGCAGTCATAGATCCATAGATGCAAAAGAGAGGGAGGCAACCCTTCCTTTGGAAAGGACGCGAGCCTAGGGCAACTCCAGATTTCAAGTCTTTCAAGAGAGGTGAGGTTTTGAAACTCCTCATAAGAGAGTCTTTCCAGATTTCGGAAGTGTTGGATGGTCAATTTGATGAGAGAGGTGGGCAGGAACATCCCTTCTTCTGGAAAGGACACCGTATCTCCCCACGGCCAACCTCCGCCATAAAGGTCGAGTGTTGTAAGAGAAGAGAGTTTGTGCAAACCCCACTCTAATGGAGATGGAGGCGGAACTGGAAGTTGACCGACGTCGTCCACTCTCCAATGCCCGATACAAAGTGAAGTGATGTTGGTGGGGAAACTCCCTTCCTTGACAAAGTAGGAGACCATCTCTGCTTCCTGCTCTGCAATCAACTAAACACAGCTTCTGAAGCGAAGTGCGTTGGTTGATGTTGTTGTTCTCATCACGACCACCAAGTGACAGGGGCTCCAGATTATAACAATCGTATATCTGCAATTGACTGAGATTCTTGAGATTATTGGCTTCAGGTAAAGATTTGAGACTGCTGCAACGCGTAATTTCAATATCTTCAAGAGATGGACAATCAATTTTGATCTCTTCCTCTGCAAAAAGTGACTCCAGCTTTGCACAAAAATGAATCCAAAGTTGTTTTAGTGTGGATGGTAGCCCACCTCTTGACAATAAATATGTGAGTGATGCACATTCAGAAACCAGCAACTCTTGCAGATTATTGAGTGTCATCAACTCGGGTAGGGACTCCAAAGCATCACACCCTGAAACCCCAAGTTCTCTCAGCATAGATGGCAAACCTTTCATTGGAAAAGAGATCAGACTCTCACAACTGTAGATTTTAAGCACCCCAAGAGATGTGTATGTGTGCAGATCTTGTGGCAGTTTCTTCAGCATTCCACAATTTGAAATTGTTAAGTACTCGAGTCTCGTCATGCAAGGCAGCCCCTTATTCCGCGACAATGTTATGAGTTCTTGGCAGTTGCTAATGTCCAATTTCTTGAGTTCCCTCAAATCTCGAGTAAACCATGTCGGTAGGAACGCCAGTTTTTCAACATGAGAAATGCTCAAAGCAGTTATTGAAGTCAAATGCTTAGACATTGATCTCGGCCTTTTCGATCTTGTGGATTCGGATGGTTGGGCCTCGGCTGACCTCTTCTCGCAGAAGATGCGGTCTTCTCACTTTCAGCCAATTTCGAAAATTGGCAGAGTTGTCCTCAGTATCAACCTGAGTCATTGTTGCCTTTGGCTGAGCCTTGTTTTATCCTTTTTTTGCTTTGGCTTTGGAGGCTGAGTTGAGCTGGGTGAGCATCAACCTCAGATGGAATGTTGGCCAGGAGATCTTTAGCAAACTGGTTTTGGGAGGCCCATCTCGGCGGCAAGAAACAAGTCGTCGCGGCCGGTTGTCGTTGAGATGGTGGATCAGATATGGAGCCGAGGTAGACGACTGTTCTACTGGATCAGAAGTTGATCCTTGATCTGCCGAGATGTTGGTAGCAGACTTGAGGAGTTGATGGCAGAGGGAGGAATAGGCTTTCTTCTTCTTCCTCTTTGGAACGTCGGGAAGAGCGACTTGTACGTAGGAATGGAATTAAGAGAAGAGGGGCCTTCCGTTTGTGGACTGACTGGCAGAATCCAAAAGTTCCTCAAGTATTTGCTGGGAAGAAAGACTGACGGAAGCCCTTTGGTGGCTGAGGAAGAGCTGCAAGAAAAACAGACTTAGAAATAAATAAACGGTTGAAGACTTTAAAAACTAGTTAGTATGAACACAGGGCTCTTTACCATTGCCTCCTAAAAAATTGATCGAGGAAAAGGTAGAGATGGAGGCCCTCATTTGGGGGAACTTCCAGTTCCCGAGGTAATGAAGTTAATCGTCTCCAGCTCCCTTGTTGGAGTCTGGGAGGTCGCATACGATTTTGTTACTCTGTGGACCTCGGCTTAAGGTTGTAAATATAACCCGTATCTTTTTGATGGCCACCACATCGTTAGCAGTATTGGATATCGGCTAAGGTAATCCTACCATTTTCTTGTTTGGCTAAGGCTATGATACCATTGATGATTCGCATAGGAATTAAATGGCCGAGTTGCATTCGGGTTCAACTTATAAAGTGAAGTATCTCACGAAAAAGGTATTTAGTGGGAGCCGAAGTCCGCACTCAATAAAGGCCACCATAGGGAAGGCATAAAATCAGTGGTTGGCATGATGGAGTCATCATCCCCAGCCAACCTCAGATGGACGTCGGCCGGGATGTCAAACTCTCGCCTAAAGTGTCTTAACTTGGAATGGTATCTACCCTATGATTTCACATACCCATGATATGGCTTAGCTGAAGGGGTTGGATTTTAGAAGGGTGGTGTTGCTAAAAAGTTTTATGGACTCGGCTAAAGCTTAAAAATACACAGAAGTTGTGGGAATCGGTTCAATTTTCCCTAACAATTGTTTTGAATTCTACAAACAAATCCCAAACCTAGATCTATGGAAACGAAGATTGAAGGCACGAATCTGAAAACAGAAAAGCAAAATGCGCTTCAGAATCAAGAACAAAAGATGGACTATCAAGAACATTGTAAGTACAAAGGGTATAAGGTCAAGAACAGTACAAAAGTGCAGAAAAGTTGTGAACAGTGCGTGTATTCAAGACATGGGCAAAGAACAAAGTCGGAAATAAACAACTCAGGATACATGATTCATAAATCAAATACTTGAGTAAAACAACAATGGCGACTAAATGATGAAGCAAAATTTCTTGGAGAGCAGCAAGAAATAAAACCAGGAGGAACAGAGGTCTACCGGGAAAAGAGAAGCCGGAATAGGGATTCCGAAGTCTGACGACGGTTGCAAAGGTGGAGGATTGGTGAAAATCACGCCGGAAGGGGTAAACGGAGCAAGTCGCAGAGTTGTGGAGGCTTGAATAATGGAAGAATTTGAAAAAGCTAGAGAGAAAAGAGCTTCTGAAACGATGTAAAGTGAAAAGACGGGAAAAAAACAGTTTTGTTAAAACTTGAAACGGCGGCAAAAAGGGCAATTAATGCGCCTGGAACAACGAATGCGTCAGACGGCGCATGTAGGCGCGAGACGATTTACAAACGCGTCCGGAGTACGATCCAATAAGGGGAGGACGCGTGGCTAAAACGGTTGAGTTATTGTGTATAACAGCTCATACGCTTGAGAAAAGCTCTTGGAATCCTTGTTCTTTAAAGAAACATGTCGGCTGGAGGAAGTACTGATATAGGTTCCATTACCTCAGAATGCCGAGGTAATAGAACCTAGAGTCAGTT